ATAAATAAGAAGATAAATTATTATGCATGTTGCTGAAACCAGCAACGTGGATAAAGTAGAGGTGGCTGGACCCACTCGGTTTCCGCATGCCAAGACATTGTTCAGGTAAGTCATTCAGCATGTTTTAGATGATCTTCACGCATCTACATTTCTCCTCGTTTTCTTCTTCAGCTTCTCTTGTTCCCGGTATCTCTCGCGCCTTTCCTCTCTCCGGCGCTTTCTTGTTATCTCTTCGTCTTTCTCTCTCTGTGTTTCAAGTTCTTTCCTTTTCTTCTCTTCCTTGATCTTTCGCTTTTTTATCTGCAGACAAGAAGCAAGTGAGCCACTGAAACTCTCAAATAGTTGGAAAATTTTAAATAGAAAAGTAGCAAGCTCTCCATAATCTAGAATTGTCTTCGCAGAAACTCGGAGGAACTACCAATTTATCATCGTTGTTTACAAACTACATTGCTGTTGTTATATAACACTGAGTAGTCCCAAATTTGGTTAATCAATGTTGTGTGTGCAACTGTGACTTGCCCAGAACCTCCTATTCAATTCCGGTTTTTTCTATTATGATAAGTTAGCGAGTCCAAGAAGTGTCTTGACAAAGTAAAAGGTGCGCTATTTGCATTCCACAATCAATTGATATAGAAGGGCTTGAATTGTTGACTAAAAATTGCACACCTTATCATGTCTAATAAGCCGAAGATGCTGGACCAGAGCATGAACTTTTCGTTCATGAGGCTCCATGACAACAGCTCTTCTGTTCTCAAGAAGGGGTTTTCTTCGACTTGGTATATCCTTCGGCTTTGACGCAAATGGAAGAGCTGCCTGTAATGACTTAGGTATTACCAATGGGTTGAATTTCTTTGGCTTCCTTTCAACTGGCTGTCAAAACAAACAAAAAAGAAATTAATTACACTAGCAAAAAAGCAATTCAAAGCAGCTTTTTTGGCTTAAAACTGAGAATTGGGGACAGTGCGCTAATGTCATAATCAGCGTCTGAACAGGAATTACCTTATAGAATGAATCCTTGTTAACGGGAATTGGGAGATCGTGTTCTCTCCTCAATTCAGCTACAGTTTTCATTCCTTGCCAGGTTTTATCACGAGGTTGCAAGGCTGTCGTCAGTGGGTTGTAAAAGTTAGGAACTTCAACTTGAGTCCAAGCACGCAAGAAAACAATGTCGCTCATTTTAATTTTGTCCTCAAAGGTGCACCTAGCAATTCCTTCCTTTGGTTGTCCTCCCTTCTTTTTGGGTTGATTACCAATCTCTTCATTTGCAGCCTGACCAGGTCAGGGAAAAAAAAAACAATAGTAAAAAAAGAATAGAAAAAAGTAAGATGGTATCGATTCTGCAGTAAACAGCAGTACCTTCTTAACCTGCCCTCGAATCCCACTGACAGTTCGAACAGCAGCACCTTCAAAGCGAGCTATCTCAAGATCCGAAGTAAACATGTCCTTTATAAGTGCCGTCTTCTTGAAGATCTTGCAGGGATAACCAACTAGCTTGAGCTTCTTCACTATCTTGGATGCATGATTGAACTCAAGAACAACTGCAGTTGCCGTGACCCTAAATGTTGCCTGGACCGCCGAGGGAAGTTCAATAAGGAAAGAAAGGTTTAAAAGAACCAGTGATATCTCTAAGTAAATGCACGAACAATAAGTATCTGTGCACCAGTTCAGAGGTGGGATTTGACCATAGAGAGCAAACTTGGATGAAAAAGTTCACATCAATGATTGAATTTAAACACCTACTCTCTTTTTGTTCAAAAGAATTGAACTTAACATAAAGATCCCCTTTGCAATTCTAAGGAGAATGCCAAACTTGACAATAACCACGACAAATGCCTTAAAAATGCTACCTGATTGTTCGATAAATTCTGGAAAGCAACCACTCCAGTGTTGGGTGGGGCAAGAGGGCCCCAGAACATTGCAAGGCAGTGCATGTGTTCAGGAGTATACTTAAGCATGCGATGCCTTCCATTCTGATCTTCAATGGCATAAACAGGCACAGTTTGATAACGCCTCCACCCAATGGAAACAATAATTGGATCTCTCGTCTTCAGTACTTTCTTGTGCCACCTATGCCGTTTTAGTCTAGCCTGCAAGAAAAGGAAAAAAAAAAAAGGATTATTTTGCATAAAGATTCACTAAGCAGGTGGTTAGATGAGAAAACTAGTAATAAAAAACCAGAGAATATGTGTATGCAAATGAAGCTTCTTATACCATGTAAATGATGTTACCAATTTAATTTTGTAAGATAAGAAGGAACCTAAAGCAACACTGCACTAACACATGTTTTAGAAAATTGCCTGCCTTCTGCAAAGAAAAGTATTCGATGATCATGACAATATACGCAATAAAGTCAGTCCGCCAGTATTATTACGTACCTAAGGAGTAAGAAATTTGTGTGCAAAAAAATAGCTGCAGATGGTTTGTATGGAAACCAAACAGATGATGCAGGGTATGGAACTAATGCAAGTGGTTGAAGTTGAATAATATGATTTTTTAGAAGTACTCAACCTGCATATATCCAACATTTTCTTCCCCAAGACCGATTCCACCAACTAAAACAGGATGGCAGGGGTCAAAGTGCTCAACCATCTCAAAAGGTAAGCCATGAATCTCCAATCGTAGATAAGTTCCAGTTTGAAATCCCTCAATCTCCAGTCTGGTAGCCTCATCAAGATCATTGAGTTCAGCTATGTTCATCTGTTTCCGATTTTCAATTTCCTCCTTCAACTGGAAGGATCAATCAACAGTTCTCTTTTAGACTTTGTATACTAGCAGATAGAAATTTTCTACATATATGCCCAAAAAATTACCTTGTCAAAATATCCACTTTCTTTAGGCCGATCCCCAGGAAACTTGGCTCCGTGTTTATCATCTAATTCCTCCTCTGATAATTCAGACCCATCATACGTAGATATAGTTAAGGTCACAGAAAGCAATTTCATATTGTTGCTAAATACCTAAGCAAACGAGACCATCCAAGATAACATAATCACATACAATCAGAAAATATATGTATTAGGCATGATATAACAGCTACTGTAGATCTATAATGAACACTTAAATGGTTAAATTCCAAGAAACGAGTTCTTTTCAGTTCAGGCAGTGGGTAAAGCAACCAGAGATTTTCTTCAGAAATTACAGATAAATTATTCAAGTAAAAGGATATCGAGAATCAAATTTTGCTCGGAGAGCAAGCTTTTTTAGCCTTCTCTCTTCAATTGCCAACTCATCTTCATTGTGGCTGATGCCCTTTCCAGCATCATTTGTTCGATTCCCATCATGCTTCTCTCCTGTTTCTAAATCTTCAAAGTCACCATATACATCATCATCATCACCATTAGTGTTCACTTCTGATGTTTGATTTCTTTGAGCGGCTTTTGACCAGTCACCAGTGACAAAGCGATCGCGAATATTCTCAATGTGTTTGTCATCTTTCCAGTCCTTGAGACTAGCACGGTTTGTGAATTTGGAACAGTCCTCGACATCCAAATCATCACCATCAAAACCTTCCCCAGGTTTCTGTAAAACGAATAAGAAAAAGAGTGATCTTATGGTGTATATGAGTTGTACCACTTCTAACAAGCATGGATTGATGCCAAAGGCGGAGATATTCAAGTGCCTGGCGTGTTAAACACCTAAGAAGGGAAGAAGAGGATTAAAAAGAAATACTTTTGAAAGAAAAGTGTAGAGGACAAACCTTGTTCCCTTCGCCTTTTATCTTGAAGAAGTCATCTCCGTCACTTTCTTCATCCCCGCCATTTTCTTCATCAACTGAAGTAGTAGCAGGCCTTGATGTAGACTTCCCATATACAAGTTGCATGAGGTTAGCATTTTTTCTCGAGATAGTCCTTTCTACTAAAGATTCTTTCCATCTCGAAATGTTTCCCATGTTCTCTAAAATCATGACAAAGAAAAAAGGCATAAAAATGAGACCCTAAAGCAGCCAGATCTAACTAACCATTTGCCTAATGAAATACGCAAAACCAATGAGAAATTGACCCATTCCAATGACGTTACTGGACCTTTAAAGAATCAAATATGCTATTAATTATGAGCAGTACTTCCTATAACAAATAAAAACATTGGAGCTCTAACATGTTCAAAGAAGATGAACAACTGTACCTTCTGTTTCACTATCCTCACCATCTTCACTAGAAGAATAACTCGACGACTGATCTTTTGCATCATAATTATCATCTTCATCCAAATCCTACAATTACATGAATTAAGAGAATATTAGTGGCATGAATAGCAGATGTTTATATATTTATATATTAAGTTGCAAGTCTTGACCCCTTATATTTCACATCCACAAGTATTTTTTTCCCCAAATCAAAATATTATGATACATGACCACGATATACTGTTTATCATATATTCCACCAGACCAAGCAACAAATCAAGGCCCGGGGGGTCAATTCTAGCCACATGCGAGTGATCTCATCATACAATAGATAGCAAATTGTACACCTATGCACAAACGAGGAGAAGAAGAGCTACTAAAGGCCTATTGCTATATTCAGCAAAAAATATATGACTTGTTTATATTATTTCAGCTCACGTATTTAAGTATGTAAATACACAATACATTTCAATACACACATAAGAGTGTTCAAATATTAATGAACTTAAAACATCGTTCCTTTTTTTTTTTTTTTTTTGGGGGAGGGGGGGTTAGTATATAGAACTCGATTGATGATCTCTAACAATTATAATAAACAATAAATGCAAATTCACTATGTTCACCTCCTGATTATTATCGGCAAGGTCTTGTCCAAAAACAACTTTTCTCCTTAGCCTCCCACCATGATATTCAACATGTTCTTTCAAGTGATCTTTTGGTTCAGTTTTTTGTTCCGACGCATCATCATTTTCTTCGTCAAAAACATCATCTTCACTCTCCATTATTGCATCTCTTTCAGCAGCTTCATCTGAAGATTCCGAGCCATTCTCAAAACCACTTTCTTCATCCGAACCACTTTCTTTATCCGACGTATCATCTTCCATGGTAGAAGGTTCTAACTTTCCATTTTGCTCCTCAGCCTCATCAGTATCTTGTCCATTATCAAGATCTTCTGATTGTATATTACGTTTCCGGCCAAAAACATCAAAAAAGCGATTTTCTAACTTTTCATCAATACCAAATTTTGATTTCTGAAGATTCTTTATCATAACCACACCCGAGTCATCACCCTTTCCTGTCAACATGTCAACTCAAATGCTTAGCAAAGAAAATTTATGCCACTTGCAAACAAAAATGAAGGGAAAATTTTCCATTATTGTCATGTTCACGTGGAAGAAAAATAAAAAGCAAAATTGCCAGCCCATTAAAAGAGGTGATGTTCAAAATAAAGCAAATAATATAAAAACATGAAAAAAACTGGTAACCTTTTGCTGTTATGTCTCCATTTTCATCAACGTTTGAAAACTGGACAAAGTGATCATTTATGTCTACATAAATAGCATCCTTATCATAGAGTAGATCCCCTAATCCAGACATTGGCGCGTAGAATAATTTTTCCTTATCACGCAATCCCTTCTTTTTGGCAGCTGATGGCAAAGGACAAGGATCTGGTAAGCCTGTGACACCAGCCAAATTATAATCACCCACACCAGCAATATGAACCTGTTACACACAGAACAATACTCTTAAGAGGGAAAATTAAAATAACTACATACACCAATCATATTTTGAAGCAAAAGACCAAAGCTCATAGTAAGGTAGCTGAAAGTCCCGTTGCAAAAGGTATGACAGTCACAATCTTTTGATTAACTTCTGATGTAAAAATTCTGAACTAGGAAAAATGGACGAGAAAAAAGAGGGTAGATGCAAATGTGTAATTTGCAAAAGATGAGGCAAGTATCAGAAAGCCATAAGCAATGAACTGTGCTTTTTTCACCTTCTATACATAGAGGTGGACATTACCACCACGAGATGGGTGCTAAAAACACCAAGAATAATTGAAATTCAGCATTTTCACCCTTAGTTCATGTTATCTTTAGGGTTACAGAGAATAGAGTTGCACCAAATCCAATTTCACTTTTAATGACAGACACTTCATGGTATATACCTTAGTTCCCTTTTTCAAGTTACATCCCCGCAAGTAGCCATAAAGTATGATGTTCCTGTCACATTTTTCATTCACGCGCACTCTCTCAGGAGATGTTACATCCTCAAAACGGTCTACCAGAACATAAGGATGAGCAGCTCGCCAAGACAAAGGATGGAACTTCATAACAGATACAAACCGTGCAAGATTATGAATTTCACGTTTAGGATACCTACTCATCCAAGTGGAGAAAAGATAGTCAATTACTGCCCAAAGAAGAAGTCAATGCCGTATAGGTACATAGCAGAGAATGGTCATGAGATACTTACTTTCCATGAATAAGACCAGATAAATAAAATAATTTAGCCCCGTCATATATTTCGGTCCAGAAACGATGTTTAAGACGCTGCTTTGTCTTCCTCAACTTCTTTGCATCTTTGAACTTATCAAGATGGGTAAGAACTCCCATAACCTTTGGAAAACCATGAACTTGCAATATATTGAGGAATTCAAACGTTTCCTACAGAGTAGATAACCCAATTACAATTTATCAACAATATGATCAGCCTAATTAACTAAAATAAAGAGATAATAAACCCATCCCACTAGAAAAAATTAGCAAGCAAGGATAGGCTCAAAAGCAATAATTTCCCACCATTTCAAAGCCATAACTTCCATCTATAAGAAGCAACGCCAAATCGGCAAATTTAGCCGCATCAATCATGCCATTTATGTCGTTCGGACACTCCACAAACTGCACCCGCCTTTGCTTCCCTATCACATTCAGATTCAGTCATTCACAAACCCAAACCAAAAAACAAAAAAAAAAATAAAAAAAGCTCCAATCTTACCCAAAGTCAGGGAATGGGGAAGAAAACTACTATTTATCAAAATGGTGACACAATCACCATACATGTGGTAATACATTAAAACTGCCAAATAACATAACACGGTTGACCCAATTCTTTTGTTTCTTTGCCATGTGAGGATTCCCTTCACTCGCCGTGTGGTGATGAATAGAAATGTTAATTTCGAAATTTTTGGAATAGAAACAATTAAATATACAAACCTGAAACAATGGTGATCGGTCCTCGAACCTCTGGTAAATTATGCTTCGTATAATGCTTCACAAGCGACTTTATCAAAAGAGACTTCCCAACCTAAAATTGATAAAGAAATTAGGGAAAAAAAAAATTTAACCACCTATGGAAATATTACACTCTCAGAAGAAGATATTTTGTTCTGCTTCCGAAGAAACCTTTCCCTCGGATTATTCTGGTCGCAAATTTTGATCATTTTCAATGAATTTCAGTCTCTCTCATATATATATATATCCCTGGACAAGAACAACGAAGGGAGGCGGTTCGCCATATGTCCGATCAATGGTGGGCGCGTGCAGGCGACGCTGCTCCTTCTCGACGGCGCGTGACTGCAAGCGCTTGGCCTTGTTGGAGGAGCTGAAAGCGAAGGCCTATATATATATACATTCGTTCGAAATCGGAAGTTAAGGCGAAAACTCAAAGTCAAAAACTTGAAAGCAAAAACAGCTGTCTTGTTGATGATGAGAAAAAGCGTACCTTAGGGTTCTGCTTCTTCTCGTTGTCGGACTTGACTTTCTTCTTCTTGGCCGAAGCTCCCGACAGCCTCGACCTGTGAGTCTTGTGGGACTGGTCGGTGCCTCCGTCGTCCGCCGCCATTGCAGCCCGAGAGAAGCACAAGAGATAAACCCTAAACGGAAATCAGTAGTACTGAAAGAAAGAAGAGAAAACAGAGAGTATTTTGGGTTTCGCGGCGGCTAATATCGGAAGTTCTGAACTTTTTGAGATGGTGGCGGTGCCTCTTCAAAACGAAAGCCTATTTATTTGTTTTTGCTAATGAAAATTAAAACGACATTTTCTACTAAAACTATATGATATTCGTCGTTTAACCAATGACCATTTACAAAACTAAAACGACACTTTCTCATCTTTGCAAAGAAAAAAAAAAAAAACAAAACAGCTTCTCATCTTTCTTTAGACAAATAAACCACGTATACCTTCAAGCGAAAAAAATAATAATAATAAACCACGTATACCTAAAAAAATAATAATAAAGACATGTAGTTGATGGTGTAGACTCTGTCAGCAAATTATGATCCTGTTTATTTTACCGATTTAAATTTAAAATTTAAATTTTGTTACAGTAAAAAACTCTCATAAACAATCACATTTAACTTTTTTACTACAGTAAAAAATTCTCACATAAAATAACATCTCAACTCGAATTAAAAACTCAAATTAGTAAACTAAACGGTCATATTGTTTGGTGTTGGTCGTGCCAAGAACGACATCGGGTTCCTTTTTTTATTTGCAATCTGATAAAATGTTGTCGTTTATTCAGAAAACAACCTATAAGGAGCTGTTCTCTTGTCGTCTACTTATCATATAAAGAATAATCAACGGAAGAGTTTCTACTTTCGAGTCCACAAGTTGCGGTCGTTTATGTAAAAAAAAGAAATTCTATTACAAAATCCCAAACACGACACATCGTTTGACCCGGCCTTATTGTAATTTTTTCTCTTTTTTTATTTTTTATTTTTCCCAACTTTCCACTTCGTTTTCTTTACCAACATTAAAAAAACCAAAAATAAATTATAAAAAAAATTCCTGTTGGCTCTTTTAGAAGCCTTTGTAAATAAAAATATTTTATTAATAAAATAACTTTTTAATAATTTTTATTTACAAAATAATTAGAGAACGATAAAAAATGACTACATTTTATAAAAAAAAAGTTGGTCATTTTTCATAAAAAAATAAAGAGTGCGTTTAAAATTAATTTTAGATTATTTTTAAAAATATTTTTACACGTATTTTGAGACACAAAAATAAAAGTAATTTATAAACTGTATTTATTTAGTAAATGTTTTGAAAACGAAAATAAAAATAAAAAATAGTAAGAATGATTTTTGTGAATGAAATATAAAACAGTTAAAAGTTATTTTTTTTATTTTTATTTTATAGAACTTATTAATAATGTTATAATATATTAATTAATAATTATAATTAAACACGATTTAACTTTTTCATTATACCTAAAATAATATTTTAAAAAATCAATCAAACGTAATTTCAGAATCAATTTTAAAAATATATTTAAAGTAAAAATTTGTGTTATAATTTAAATTATAATTCGTAACTCGTTATAATATTTTCTCTAAAAAAAATACATAAATTAAAAATAATTTTAAATTATAATTTTAAATTCATAAATTAAACATCTTTTTATAATTTTTAAAATAATTTTATTTTTACTTATATATTAAAAATAAAATATTTGGGCCGAAGTCATTTTACTAATTTTTTGATTCTCGTTCTCGCAAATTTCTCTTTTTTGAGAAGGCAAAGATGAGGGAGTAGAAGGAGCATAACAAGTAGAAAGAAAAGGAAAAAAAAAATGGTCTTTGGTGGGCAAGCATGAAGAACAACAGCAACCACGGCCTCAGAGGAGAAGATCAGCCGAAGAAAGAGAGTGCTCTCTCAAGCCTTGACGCCAGATTCAACCAAACCCTCCGAAATGTTCAAGGGTAAGATTCATGCGAATTATTAATATTCCTCAGATTTGATTGATAACAATTATGTTTTCAGTTTCGTAATCCTAGTATCACATGACTTTTCAGTCGTTAACTAACGCTGATGATAATATAACCCATTTGCTTTTGGAAGGTTCTGTTTTGGAATTTGGTTCTGCATTTTGTAATGCATGGGTTTTGATCTGCCCAATTCTTTGATTTGGTTGAGAAATTTGATGTGGGTTTTGCTCAATTTGGGCTGATTTTGCAAAGAAATGAGTGAGAAGGTGTGTGATTAGAACGATCTAAGCATTCAAAGCTGATAAGTTAAATTATGCTCTGTTCTGTTTGGTTGATGGGAAAATGGGAAACGAGGATTTTATCAAGTATTGTGGATTGTTTTATTTAGTTTCAAGCAGAATTATGCTTTTAACTAAATGCGCTTTAGATTTGATTTTTATAAACTTTTCTGTTCGATTTATAAATGTGAAATCTTTTTATTGTTTCATTCTCTTTGTTATGTAACGTTTCCACCTTTAGCGCTTATTTAGAACAAGTTATTTTTTGGCCCGTTTTGTATTTGCTTATGCTTTTAGAAGAGAAGTAAAGGCTATAGCTTTTCAATCATTGTTTAGAAACACATTTCTTAGAGAGTTTAATGAAGCAAAAATGTATTAGAATGTACTAGTAAGCAACAAAAATGTTAAAGTGAAGTTTATAAAATCTTGTTGAAGTTCTAGTAAAAGTTTCAACGTCTTTTGAAGAGTTTTCTTGAGAAATTTCGTTTCGTGGCATTGACTAGAAGCTCTTTTGGAGAATCAAAGCTACACTTCCAACTAGCTTTCAGACCTAGGAAGTCAAAACCACTTCCATAACTCATGAAGCGATGCTAAATAAGACCTTAATGCATCATCATTTTGAAACCCACAAAAAATTTTTATGCATGCCTTGTTAAGCTAATGGGAATCTGATATTTCTTATCTATTTATAAATTCTGCCTCCATAGGTTGCTCAAAGGCCGTACTATTCCTGGTAAAGTGTTACTTACTAGGAGGTCAGACCCACTAGATGATTCAAGCTTACAAGAACACTCCCCAAGTTATCATAGGAGCTTCTCATCCAATGATGCTGGGACAAGTGACCATGAAGAGAAGCCAGTAAGGATTTCACATTTATACTCATCTTTTGTAATAACTAAATTCTGAAATTCATATCATCTTTCAAATTAGTTTTGTGACTGAGATAAGTGGGACTGTGGTTTTAGGAGGAAGCCGAGAGCACAAGCAAGCCAAATAGCAATGCCAATGCGAACAAGTTGAAGTCATTATCTTCGAATGCTGAGAATACTCCCAAAGAAGTTCAAAAATCCACCATGGGTGCTAGAGCAACAGATTCTGCAAGACTCATGAAGTTCTCAAAGTTTCTGTCGGAGACAACAGTCATATTAGGTATGCTGCCTTCAAATTTACCTATTCTCCCCGTCTGTCAAACAGGACCAAAAAAAAAGTTTTTTTTCCCCTTCATTTTTCACTTATTCTATAAATGATAGTGTGTGTATATAGAGGTCAGACATGTGCAGATAAATAAACCTGAAAAGCATGTAGGTGTTGAGACTCTGAGGCATTGAACAAAATTTTGCAGTGAATATTTGAGCTGTTCCAGGACATAAATAATTGAACTCTTTTCTAATTGAATTTGTCTGCTCTATGCTTTTAATTTCCATCCATTGTGGTTTTTAGACCCTTAATGTGTTCTATTTAACCCCAAATTTTTCTTTGTGTAGAGAAGTTGCGTGAATTAGCTTGGAATGGCATACCACCGTATATGCGCCCTAACATATGGAGACTTCTCTTGGTAAGCCTGAGAATCCAGTAAAGCTCATTACCTACTACCTAGCAGAAAAAAGTTCCTGTCCATTAGGGGCCATATGTCAATCTGGGCTTCCTTTATTTGGCCCTTTAGTAGCCTAAATTGCCTTTTAAATAAATGTTGCTTCTTGGTTGAAATTTAAGAATGAACTGACAACAGGGATATGCACCACCTAATTCAGATAGAAGGGAGGGAGTTCTGAGAAGGAAGCGACTTGAGTATCTCGATTGTGTTTCTCAGTATTGTGATATTCCAGACACCGAGCGTTCAGATGATGAAATCAACATGCTTCGCCAGGTTAGTTTTTTTCCCAAACTGGTTTCATCTACTCTGATATGTGATAGTCTTCACCCCACTTCTTAACAGTTTGCCGTACTTTCCTTTTCAGATTGCTGTTGATTGTCCAAGAACTGTACCAGATGTCTCTTTTTTTCAGCAAGCCCAAGTTCAGAAATCCTTGGAGCGTGTCCTTTATACATGGTTAGCCACTGAAATGGATGGATGGTTGAAAAATTGAAACAAAATTTTGAAATGTTATTTTTACTTGAATCTAAGTCCAAAATAATAATTAAGAGTATTCAGGACTTTCTCTGAACTGGGCATGTCGAATTCAACATTTGACCTTTTTTAGAGGCTTGTAAATACAGTGAACTCATCTTTACTTGTCCTGCTCTTTTTTCAGGGCTATTCGGCATCCCGCGAGTGGATATGTTCAGGGAATAAATGATCTCGCCACACCGTTTCTGGTTGTTTTCTTGTCGGAATACTTGGAAGGGAGTGCGGACAATTGGTCAATCTCTGATCTATCTCAGGATAAAATTTCTAATGTAGAGGCTGATTGCTATTGGTGTCTATCAAAGTTACTTGATGGCATGCAAGACCATTACACTTTTGCGCAGCCCGGTATCCAGAGACTCGTGTTTAAGTTGAAGGAATTGGTCAGACGGATAGATGGTAACCCCTTTCTCTGCTTGTCTCTCTCTGTCTTGCACCATTTTCTTTGCATGAAGAAATTTGCAAGATTATTTGGTTGGCTTTAATTAGAAATGATCATCATCTTTTGAAAATGGTCAAACTGCATATCTTAATGATATATATTGATTTGTGAGTTTTCTGACTGAGGACATTTTGCTTTTTCCCCCCCTCCAATAACTACACTAGAACCGGTTTCTAGACACATGGAGGAGCAAGGGCTGGAATTTCTTCAATTTGCTTTCCGCTGGTTCAACTGTCTTTTAATACGCGAGGTTTGCTTCAACAGACGCTTGTCTTAGCTCATTATCACATTAGGAACCTTCATTTAGATTTAAGTGCTTATTTCAGAGAACTCGTTAAAGCTAATCAATTGTTTGTTTCTCTTAGATCCCTTTCCATCTTGTTACCCGCCTGTGGGACACATATCTTGCAGAAGGAGACGCGTTACCAGATTTCCTTGTATATATATTCGCCAGCTTTCTTTTAACGGTGAGATAGAATTCTATATGTCCTTGAACTTCTTGTAGTTTGGTACTTCCAAGTTAGTTTAGCATGTGGAAACTGTGCTTTTTTGTTCTGGCTACTCACACGCGCGCTCACACATATTTATATCTTTTTACGGTTCAATTTACTGAATTCACAAGCATGTTGTTATATTCAGTGGTCAGATGAGCTCCAGAAGCTTGATTTTCAAGAGCTGGTGATGTTTCTTCAACATCTTCCAACCCAAAACTGGACTGACCAAGAACTTGAGATGGTTCTTTCAAGAGCTTACATGTGGCACAGTATGTTCAACAGCTCTCCTAGTCATTTGGCTAGCTGAACTGAAGAGGGAATTGTGTTATGAGTTATGACTCCCATATCAATTATCGACTTCTTTTCTCATGTCTACTTCAGCTATTATATCTAATTCAAATTGTTGTGGACGTTGTATATTTGCTTTCTCATGGTTGAGGGACCAACCATTTTCTGATGTGGATCATGTACTGTAATATTTGTTAACTTTTTTTTTTTTTTTTTTTTTTTTTTTTTTTTTTTTTTTTTTTTTCTGTTTATTTGTACTTCGTAGATTTTCATTTTGACTGAGTGAAGAAAAGAAAAAATGTTACTTGAATTGTATGACACTTTCTGCCATAAGTTTCTATCTAACAATGAAAAGAAATATGACACCATAAGCGTGTTGGGAATTCATTTTAAAATAATTTTATTTTTTGTATGAAAATGAAAATGACAACGTTTTCAATCTCAGACATAAATCATTTTTAAAAATATATTTAATAATTTTATTAAGAGATTATTTTCAGTGTAAAAAAATTCATTAATGTCTCTCTTTCTCTCTCTTTGCTTGAGAGAGGAGAAAATAAAAATAAAAAATAAAACGATTAAAAGTTATTTTTTATTTCTTTCATTTTACATTAAATTAAAAAAAACCGTTTTCATTTTTATTTTTTGTTAAACGTCATTTTGGAAACGTGTTTATTTAAAAGAGGAAAATATGTCAAAACTTGAAATGAATTAAAATTAATAGGCCAACAGTTTACATAAATTAATAAATATGTCAAATTATTGTTTTCGTCCATAACTTATCTGATTATGAACCATAACTTGACAAGTTATTATCCATAATTTACGGGTTTTGTCCATAACTCGTCTGGCTATGAACCATAACTTGACAAGTTTGTCCATAACTTATATGGTTATGAACCATAACTTAACAAGTTATAGCCTATTAATTTCTATAACTAAAAGTTAGCCTATATACTTTTTTAAGCTTTTCATATTGGTTTATTTTTTACTATTTCCGTTTAAACATAGGCAAGAGAGTTCAAACTCTGAGTTGTCATTTAACCATTCAAAAAATGTAACATAGGCAAGAGAGTTCTAACAAGCATGAGCGTGCATTCAAACTTTTAGGATGAAACCTCCTTTTTTTTTTTTTAATCTTGGATACTAAGGATTCGAACTCTAAACCTCTTGTCGATCCAACCACAACCATTTTCAATAACTCCTCAAGAAATATCATCACAAAATTTGGTAGCTTGAGGATTTTGGGCCCCTAGTGTGGTCGATCACTGTTGTAAACCAACCCCTTGTCTACATGCCAAGTATCTGAAAATGTCAGACAAGTCTCAAGGTTCTCCTCTTTCGCTGAAAAATATGAAAACAAATAAAAGTCAGTTCAAAGACAAAAGCATATAAGTTTATGAAGAAATACTGCTCCATTAATGCAAACCTGTTTGCCTTAAGAAATGAAACATAGAGACGAAGGACGATGAATATTACAACCAACAACACGACTAATTCGAGCCCTTACGTGTTTGCTGCGTTCTACCTCTTCGAGGAATTTCTCGGGATAATTGATATACTCGAGGCATTCCTTTTTTAACTCTGCTGCCATCTCTTCTTCTCCAACTTTCTCAAGATTTCGGATCAATATTGTGAATGTCAATTTTTCAGGAGCACAACCTGATGTCTTCATCAACCCATATGTCTCCATTGTCTTCTCAACCATACCAAGTTGTATATATGCTCCAATCATCTCAGTGAATACCCTTGTGTTAGGTTCTAGGCCTTCTTCTTTTAGTTCCCTAAAGAGCTCTTCAGCCATTTCAAGTAAGTTGTTCTTTCCCAACAACCGAATCATGTCAGAGTATAGGGATAAATCTGGTTTGTACCATACTTCCTTCCTTACAAACTTGAAGACCTAAATCCTGATGTCAGTTCAGAAAAGTATAAAACTGAAGAAGAAGAAAAACCCTCAATTCAAGCATGTCCACGATGAAAGGCCAGTTTGATAATTTTTGAAGCCACAAAAATCCTTTATAAAACATGGCACATTTGAGACTACGAGTTGTGTAGCTCTTTTTTGACAGTCTTCCAAAATACTAATATAAGCCTAATCCTACTTTTATTTGTATTTTATCTCTTCTCTTCATGAACAAAAAAGTATCAGTTAAACCCAAAATTAGTCCATATTAAACCACGTGAAAAGTAATCGTTCAAAATAATTATGGAAATGGCAAGAAAAGCAACACTGATTTCAATTCAGATCAGCCCAAAAGAGAGAGAGACCTTCCTAATCGAAAAAGCTTCACCACAAAATCCTACATTTTCTGCGATTTTATATCTTTTATCCATGAACAAGTGAACAACCAATTACCAAGTATATTGTCAAAACCCAAAAACTAATCATTGTAAAACAACATGAATAATCATACAAATAGCAAGAAGAAAGGAAAAGGAAAAAAAAAAAAAAAAACAATAATAGTACCTTGAGGGCTAAGTCGAGTTCATTTTGTCTCTGCAACTCCTCCAAAGCGTCCAACAAGTCAGCCTTCAAGAGCCTACTGAGTCTCCCACCGAAAACCTCGTCGAGCTTCATCGGACTTGGTTTTGCCAACTTGAGCGCCTGCACTGCCTGAATGGCTTCTGTCGACAAAACCCTCGACCTCCACATCTGCTTTCTCGGACCATTTCTCAGACCACACAACGTGATAAACACATGATTAGTTGATTTTGGAGTCGAGATATGGATTTTTGGGAGGTTTTGACGAAAAACCACTAGGGCAAAATTGGATTTCAGAGAAACCCCCATGAGAGAGAAAACAATGAACTATGACGAGGAATAAGAAGTTTCAGAAAAGTGTGAAAGAGGTGATGATATTTATCGGGCTAATTAAGCACGTGCAACGAACTTTTCACGTGTGAAAAAAGATTAGTAGAAATTAATGAAGATATTAATATCTTCTTCGCCCTCCTTTCCTCGTTCACTCCGCTTAGAGAGAGAAACGGAGGAGTGAGAGAGAGAGAAAGATGGGTATATGTGTATCAGCCTCGAAACGAGTCAAGAACTCGCTCTCCAACTCGCCCGATTTTGACTCAGCTTGCGACGCAACCTTCTCCCACTGCCTCTCCCTTACTCAGCACGCTTTCCCAGGCGTCTTCCCTTACCAACTCACCGACGCCGCTGACAACCTCTTCCGCGCCCTCGCCGTCTCCGCCGCCCGCCCGCGTGCGCTCGGCTGGGTTTCGTCTCCCCCGACTCGCTCTCAGGTCGACTCTGCCTTCCGAGTCGTGACTCGCGGGCCCAACGACAACAACGACGACGGAGCCCAAACTCTGAGCTCGGCCCAGTTCAAGGAGTGGGCCGTGGAGCTGTTCGGGGACGCGGCCCTGTCCAGCGCCCGGGGCTCCCTGCTCCGCCGTGTCCCGATCGGAGCGGCGGGAATCGCCTGCGTCGGAGCTCTGACTCGGCTGGGAAATGGCCTCGTAGGGGCAGCGATTGGGGTCTACGCGCTCGGCGTATACGCTGCTGTGTATTCGAGTTTATGTGGGAAGTGACCGGTTTGTTATTAAATAATAATAATAATAATCTTAGCAAAATGTAATACTCTACTCTGGTTTGTGTCAATAGAAGTACATTATATATTTATTTATATACAATAAATATGATATGATAATTCTTTTGTCCGTTAAAAGTATATCTATTTGCTTTTGTGAATTGATAGATTTTTATTAATTTTATTAATATATTTTGATGTCATACTCTTTTATTTTATTTTTTGCTAACAAGATTAAATTTTTTTCATGTCTGAATAAAAATATGAACTTGTTTATTGATTGGCATTTCAGCTTGAATAAAGATGCGAACTTGTTCACTGATTGGCATTTAATTTGTATATTTTTGGTATTGATACAAGTTCGCATCTTGGCATCTAATTTGTATATTTTTGGTATTGATATAATTGTGTGATGAAAATGTATTGGTATCTGGTAAAAGGAGGGGGGCGTTAGGACCGGCCGTGGAGGTTGTGGAAGGCTCTGATCGTCTCCGGATTTAGGCTGGATCGGTAGGAGGCGGGGGAAGGGTTGGCTGGATGGTTCTGCTGCGAATCGGGTGGTCTCTGCCTTCGTCCGCCCTCTACAGGCGTTAAGGGGCCCGACTGAAGGCGTGGTTGGGTTCGTGCCGCTGTGGGAGGGTGGTCTGAGGGCCTTTTGGCCTTGGCGTGGGTTTGGCCGTGGTGGGGCTGTGATGGCTCCGGTGGTTGGTGGCCGGAGTTGGGTGATGAGGACTCCTGGGTGGCTGGCGTTGAGGGACCCCGTGTCCGCGGATTGCGGTGGTGATTGTTCTCTGGTTTTGTGTTTATTGTTGCTTTTTGTTGTAATAAAGGCGACGTTTGTTTGCCCTCACGTTGCAATAAGGGTGGTGGTCTTCCTACCCGACCCTCGTTTATATTGTTGTTTAATTTTAGTTTTTATTGTCCGGCATGAGGCCAGTTGTATGTCCACTTATAGGGTGGTCTTGGTCTAGTTAGAATCTGTTCTAGACTACGTAGATGTCCCCACTTCGTGAGGTTTATAATGTGTCCCTCCAGAGCTATGAGGCTTTCTTTGTTTAGGATGGGTCTTTTTTCTGTAGAGCCTCTAGCGTGCTCATTTGTAGCATACCGAGGTAGTTTCTCGTTGTCGGGTCTTAGGCGTGGGTTTTACCCTTCGAAGGGTCAGCGAATTTGGACCGAGACGAATGTTTATCAGTTTTTTCTTTAATTGATTTCCTCTTTTTTTTTTTTTTTTTTTTTTTAAAATTGTGTGATGAAATGATAAAATTTTCTATGCAAAGATATATTCAATTGTGAAAGGACAAAGCTAGTATTTGTCTTGGCAAGAATAAAATTTTCCTTACCTAAATAAAGATGTGAACTTGTCTTGTTCGCTAATTGGCATTTCAGCCATTTCTCTATTTCTGCTCAAATGAAATTCTGGATAATAAATGTAATGACAGAGAAGAATTTTTGAAGACGTGACTCACGTCTCAACACTATTGTAATGAAATTTGATTATATTATATACACTCTTAGCTGTAATACAAAAGATTTCTGTCTATCACTCGTGAGCTAAAAGCATGATTGAGGACACTTTTAGAAGTCAGAGCACCTCTGAGAAGAGTTAAAGCCTGCACAAGGGAAATTTCCAATTTGATTAGTTTTAGGAGGTACATAAATTTTGATCACCAAAAAAAGGGGTTTTTGGTAATTATAAAAGGATTATTGTTCAATGTTCACCAATAAACTATAAAGGGTCTATCTTGGATAATGGATCATTGAAAAATGCATAAGATTGTTGCTTCTGAAACTTATAAACGAATTAGCTATTAAGATTTAAGAAAATTTTCATGTTTCTGCTATTTGAACAGATTCTTTTGTGTAAAATACCTCTTCTTTTCCAACTGTAACTGATAGTTCTTCCAAATCTGTAAAGGGAATGTCAAGTCTGCTCATACCAGAGGCAGGTGATAGAGTTTCAACCATAAGATTATCAGTGACCAGAAAGGACCCTTGTTCTCTTATGAAACCCCCGCCACCTTTTGTCGTGCCGCGCCATTTGGGGTTCATGATTTTAAGCCTTTGAAATTGCAAGTGCAAGCATGTTTTCTTCTGCAGAGAACAGGAATAGCACTTGTTGTATATGAACTCCGATGGAGTCACCTCTTCTTCGACTTCAAGCAACCGGTTCTCACAGCCAAACATGTGCTCGAGCTTGGGGCTCAGAAGCATTTCCTTGCACCTCAGGGAGATGATGTCCATTGCGCTCAACATCTGGACACTCTTGTACAAGTTGTCTATGCTTCCGATGCAAGAGTCCCCCCTTAATAGCTTGTTGATGGAACCTAGAGGAATTGTGAGGAAGGAGAAGAGAAAATCGACGAAATCTTCTCTTGCTTCGATGCAAATTACCCTGTTTGTTGACTTGCTAAACCATAGTTTCACATTCATCTCCTCAGAGTCGGAATTGCCATTCATCTGCTGTTGATAAGGCAGGTGTAATGAATCAGGTGATGAAGTGATATCCATGCTCATATTCTCTTGCAGAAAAACATCTGTTAGGGGTGTCTTGGAGAGCATTGATTGATGAAGCAGCTGCAGCACCTGAATTGAAAAAACTTGGTGAACTTGTCTTATGTTTTCGATGGATTTCTAATTCAAGTTCAATATCTAGTCATGTTTTAGGCATTATGACCATCAAAGTACCGACATAAGAGAAAATGCTTGACTAATTTGGATTCTAATGGATTGTTGCTTGATACCAGATAACTTACCTCCTCAAGACCAATATTGATGTGCTGCTCTTGCACACCGGTGTTGTCTCTGAATTCGTGCCTCAGAAGGAGCGAACGTGTGTTAGATATTGATGCAGGGAGAATCTGCAAATCGTTGCTTATGATAAACCTCTGCGCTCTAGTGATGAATCCCCCATCTGCCTTCCCATCTGCGTACTTGATTCGCAGCTTGTTGTCCATCGGTTTTCCACAAGCGCAGATCGAATTCTCCACCAAACTGATGAATCCAAAGGACTCGTTGTTCAAGCATGGAGTCTTGGAGCAAGTGTAGAACTTGGTGTAGTCCATTCCATCAATCTTCACAATCAACTTGTTGGACTGCAGTCCATGCGCACTTCTCAGTTGGAGCAGCATGTTCTTGCAAGCCTTTGTCCTGAAACACTTTTTGTCAAGAGCTTCCACACTCTTGTACAGTTCATCCATGGACCCAATTCTTGATTCTTTATTAGCCAGCCTTATGATTGTTCCCATCGGCAATATAAGAAAGCTAAGCAACACATCAACAAAATCCTTGCCACACTCCGCGAATACAACTCGACTCCTATTCTTGTCTATGAGCAGCTTCAATCTTATAGGTTTTCGAGTCGCAGGTTGAGAAGTCCTCTCATTAGGTTGAGATTTTGATTCCAAGCCAACAGAAAGCCAGAGCCTCCTGAGTACAAGAAAATTATTGGAAGTTATTATCAAGTATCACTTCTATAGTAATCTAAGGATTAGGACCTGCTCAATGTTTTTGAGCTAATTGAACGTGATTGTTCAATTTCTAAAATTAAAAATATACTATATTTTTACATACTAGTACGTATATTACTATATTATATAACTTTGTATCCGTACCTTAGAAGTTGATAGAGAAAAATGATGGATATTAACAAGCCGAAAATCATTGAAACCAGAACAATATTGTTGGACATAACAAGGTAGAGAAGAAGGACAAAAAGAACTGCTCCACCGGCCTCAGTACCATATAATATTTCCATATCAAGAGAGACAACTTTCTTTTGGTCTCAAAAGGGTACAAGGAAATCAAAAAAAAAAAAAAAAAGTTTTTGCAATATCAAGGAAATCCAGTTATTGTTTCCTTTGAATTTGGTGTGGGATGTCAAGAGGTTGAATGAGTATTTATAAATCCAGTTATCTTTTTCCATTCAAAGATTAAAATAAAAAATAAAAAAAGGTTGTTGTTCTTATTTCTTCTCTACTTTGATTAAGTTTTAGGTGAATCAATATTTTAAAATGAAGACTCATAAAGACAATTCTCTGGTAGGTAAAAAATAAATAAGTCATCCCACTACTAAATTACAGTTTTAGAACATTAGATCATGAAATTTAATAAATTATCGGACGGTCTAAAATTAAACACTATTAACTCTCCCATAAATTTCTTATCAAGTAAATTAGCCTACATCTCCAAACAATCATGTAGAGCCAAGTGTCTAATATCTAATATAATATATGCCTGGTCCATTTCAGTGTTGACAATTTTTTTTTTCTTTTTCAATAAGAAAAAAAGTGTCTAATTATAAGAGTTGAATTTTGATTGCGTGTGTTACAAGTTGCAGTTTAGACTAAATCTTTGGGCGGTACGTGTATACAAAACATATGTACACGCCTTAAGTTAATAATAATCTCGTGGAAAGTCCTTGATTAATATCATATTACATAACTTCTTATGTGTATCCAACTCTTATAATTGGAGCTTTTGCATTGACAACGTAAGTGAATCATGGAGATAATAATTACTAGTTTTATCTTTTCAACGTTTTGAATTCTCTATGTCTTGGCAAATATATACTTGTATATTCTTTATTATGTAAGTTTCTCCTTAAATTTCACAAGGCGATCAGCCTTCATCAACAGTGATGCTTCAAAATAAAATTACTACCTTTGACTGGTTTTCATGTGCTGTTACCAACCACCATGAGTATGTTGTTACTTACTTTTAATTTCATTATTGTGTTGGTAGACTTCATATATTTTATCATCACTTTTATGTTAGGAACACCAATTCTAATACTAATTTTTTTTTTTTTTTTTTTATAAACTCATGACTTATTATTCTTTTTTTAATAGGCGTTTAAAAAATTATTATATCAATAGATTGCACCTACTAGTAAAAGAATAATAACTTAAAAAATTAATACAAAAATTGAGATTAGAGTGGGTCTCTCTAGTATTTTTCTTTTTACAATTATGATAGTATATTTTACCAACTAGCACTAACACCAAGAATTTCTCTTGCAGCATATCAGAACTTCCCTATAAAACAGCATATTAATATTATCGTTGGCAGTTTTATTTGTGCTGATGGAGTTTTGACCCTCAGGGATACATGTCAAAATTTTACAGGCTAAGACATTTTTCTTTTTTGTTCATCTTTCTCTTTTCTTTTCTTTTTTTGGAAAAAAAGAAAAGAAAAGAAAAGGAGACCATGAATAGGAGTCAATTCAAGAAGAGTAGGTTTGAGAAGGAATTAAGTTGTGATATAAAGCATTTTCCTATTATTGTTATCAGTTCACACTATAGCTTATTTGAGTGTCTTTTCAACCTCTCTTTTTTAACAAAACTAAATTATGTAAAAAGCTTTCATAGAGTTTCCCAAGTCCTTAATGTTTCTTTTGTTTGCAACTCTAGATTATCCCATGAGTTCAGGGATATCCTGCTCTTATACAGAAGTAGTAGGAAAAAAGAAATGAATCAACAAATTGACATGTATTCAAATCAATGCAACTGCTCACACCAGGATCACTTTGTGTGCTCCTGTACTTAACGAAACTTATGGACCAAAGACAATGCAATGAAAAAAAGCTGGCGAGAACTTTCTTATTCTGCAAAATCCAATTCCAGGCCTGGAATGTATTCCAAGCTCACATCGAAGACGACCGGACTATTCGGAGCCACCCTTGGCCTTCCTGGGGCTGAGGTTAGACCTTTGGGGAATGCCAACTGATCAAATCAAATCACACTAATGTATATCAGTATGTATATATATATATATATAGAAGGTTAGAACTGACTTCCAAATGTTTCCCCTTTGGAGGTACTTTAATTAAGTAGTGAAAACTATTAGTTACCATTGTCACTGGATCACATGAATGATTTGTGTTCCCTCATTAGTGAATTAGAATATATAGTTATGGAAGTTAACAAAACTAAAGGTGCTATATAACAATACCGGTTTTTTTTCCTTTTGCCGTTTAGGTTCTTTTAGCCGTCAGATTAACTTTTATTCCATTTAAACAGTTAGATATGACCTGATAGACTGGTACATCTTAGGAACTACCCCTTGGCCTATATCTGTATGCATGTATATGTATACATAATACATGTATTCAATTTTTATTGTATTCTCCTCAATTTTCTATATAGTTGATAGTATTAACATAATAGTTGAGAAAGAAGTGAAAATCTTACTGATCCTGGAATGTAGAGTCGGCGCTTCCCGCCCGTTTTCATGCTCAGCATGCCTTCATCAAGGCCCTTGATCACCTGTTCTACTCATTTAGGTTAAAAACCATTAAAATATATCTAACAATTAATGTAACAGAATCCACTTGGGACTTTGATGATGCTTAGGAAGTACTAATCAAATCTATTTAAGTTCTGTAGATTTGCTGCTTGAGACTGCACTATATTCTGTCATATCATTACTCTTATCATATCATCAAAAGATCAAATATTAGTTTGAACTTTTCGACTATTAACAACAATTTTTTTTTAGAAAAAAAAGTAAGCAGCTTCATAGTGGTTTCTGGAAGCTGACTGAGCAAGAGAAATCTTGGAAGGCTGAGCACAGCTTTACCAAAGTCTTATAAGAATCACATAACACCATTTTTCTCCGTTGTAATCTTACATGGGTGGCAAAAAGTTTCTTCATGAAAATGAATGATTTTATTCCATATATCATACCTGACCAGAACCAACACGAAAAATGTAGGGCCGACCCTTCTCCAATGAACTGTAAATGGAGACAAACCAATAATAGAATGAAAATTGGTGTCCTGCATCTAAATCAAAGTTTCTAATGTGAAATCAATTATTGTTTTACCTGTCAAATATCTGCCCAGATGGAACCATGGCAACATAATTAGCAGCCACCTGCGGTTAAGAGAATCAAGCACACAAAGTAAAGATTGCAGGTTGAGAAGTTGACAAGTTTCTTTTCTTTCTGATAAAACTGGACCGTGATCAATTAAGATGATACAAATCAGCATATATGAATATGCTCTATTGCAGTTTTTGGAAAGCCTTTCTAAATGGAAAGTTCAGGTCGATTGTCTGACAAACTATAAACATATGTAGATCAACAATACATATGGATGAAGTGTAGAGATTTTTGCAGGAAGACGTCAAATGGATGCAAATGGGTGGGCATTATTCTGAATAGTTGGGCCTAATTTCTATGTCAGCTTCAAAGGATAGAAACTTTAAATACAAGAAGAACACTCAATTATAGATAAATATACTGAAACTTTGAGTTTTCATGTTAAGAATTAGTTATAGGTGGCAAGAAAGCCAAAGAAACTTAACACACCTGAAAACCAACTGGGGGACTAGGACCTTCACCAACTTTAATATCCTTGTACCGCAAACCAGATTCTGTAGTTACCGTAGGTACCTTTATTAGAGGGAAAAAGCCACCATGAGTACCAGCCAGCAAAAACTTGGTCAGACTCAATCTCTTCTAAACCATGATCTTCTCGATCGGATAATTGAAATGCTGGTATTTCAATGATTATGTTCTAAGGAAAGGATCTAATTCATGAGAAAGAATAAGCCCCTAAGTGTCTAATGCAGAATGAAAGGTTTAGAATTTTAGAAAAATCCCATTAAAGCAGATGATCTTATAAAAGCTACATGTCATAGTTGGTCTGAAATGAAAGAAGAAATCGCTGGTTTTGAGATTTTTATTCCTAGTCTAGGCCAATTTTTAACAAGTCTTAGATTGACCTCAGCTACCTTGTAAATTTTGTGCGAGGTCATCTATGGTAAAGAATAAGCCTAAGTGGCTACTCCATAAATGAAGTTGAAAATCTATAGAGAGAAAAAAAAAAAGGAGAAAAATTCCATTCAAATATGATCCACTTATAAAGGTAAGGCCATAGTTTGTCTGAAATGAAAGAAATATTGCTGGTTTTGAGCTTTCACTCCTTAATCATTGTGTTTACTTCCCTAGTTAATTTTAATAGGTGTTACTTGCCCAAGTCTTAGACTGACCCGCCTTGCAAATTTTCTAAAATGATTGACACAATAAGAACATAAAAATAAAGTGTTGGAGAAAAGGGGTTAAACAAATATCACCATACAAAATGCTACCCCCAAAAAAAAATAAATAAATGAAGAGTCCGAAAAATCCCATTAAAAATTGATCATCTCATAAAGCTACCTACAGGCTATGGTTTGTCTGAAATGAAAGTAGAAATTTATGGTTTTGAGCTTTCATTCCATTGATCAATGTGTTTTCTTCCCTAGTCTTTAGCTAATTCTAATAGGGTCTTGCTTATTCAAATCTTAGATTGACCTAACCATTCTTGAAAATTTTCTGGGACAAGTAAGAAGAGACCCAAAAAAAAAAAAATGTGGTAAAGATAAGGGGTAAGGTAATCTCACCATACATTTTCAAGCTCCTTCTCACAAGCATCATCACAAAGCCTTGGCTTTTGCTCTGGTGGCAACCCTGCTCCTTTAGCAACATGATGTGACTCCACCAACACGCTCGCAACTCCAAACATCAATCCAATCACTTCTCTGCGCCTCTTACTCAACTTCAATTCATCATCCCAATTTGCTCTCGCCCTCGAATCTTTAACTTCCGAGTTCCAGCATCTCACAACGAGACCCCCAATTCTCTTACTGCAACTAATGCCTTGACTTTTGCCACAAGTAGAACCTAACATGGTGTGTTGCCCAAGAAAATTCTTATGATTTTGCAATTAGTGAGAAAACAGAAATATCATGTGCATAATGTTGTTATTGCTTTTGGATTTCTTTCCCATTCTGAAACGAAGGTGATGATAAGGAGAGAAAAAAACCCAAAGGAAAAAAAAAAATGAAGTGACATGATTCATTCAGATGAAAAGAAAAGTGCAGATTATTATTATTATTATTATTACCTAGTGGAAGCAGAAGAGTTGAAGAAGAGGAGGCCATGCTTTGGAGAATATTGAAAACTCTAGTCTGTAGAGTTTGGGAACGGATAACGAAATCTTTTGGTTATGAATATATTCGGTACAATACAACTAAATTTCGAAGGAAAAAGACAGCATTCTTAGGCCGGCTTATCCGTAGGGAATTAGTAGAAAACATCCCACGGCTATTGAAGGGTATTCTGGTAATCGTACATTTAGATGCTGACTATAGTTTTTTTTTTTTAAAAGAGAAACGACTGGAAACTTCTAAACGACAACCTATAGTGAATGCCAAAAGATGCAACAATCACTTAAAAGGAAAACGACATGATGTCTTGTTAAATAAACGACAATATTCACGTCGTACGAAACTGCATGTTGGATAATGCTTGAAAAAATACTTTTATATTTAAGGAGAGTTTTTGAACCTATTTGAATAAAAACCTTAAAAGTACTTATTTTTATATAAAAAATGTAATAAAAGGACATGGATGAGATATTTAATTTACTATTTACAAATAAAATGTTCAAAATGTAAAAAACCTTTTCATAAACACTTTTTTCATAAGCACTAAGGAGATAGTTTGTTCTAAAAGTGTTTAAAAAAATTAAAAACACTTTAAGATTGTCCATCTAAACAGATTCAAAAGCAACTAAATAAGTTAAAAAACAGTTTTTTTAAAAACAAACAGACCTTAACTAAACAAGCAACGTACCATAGAGAACGAGGGAACTAATATATTTGATATGTGTTTAATAAATTATAACACATTTTGTTAAATAATTAGATTATGACATAATTTGATATTTTAGATTTCAAATCTTATTAAAAAACTAAAATATCTCTAAACCTCATTTTTCACTTCTCTCATTCCTTCTAAATCTCTATTTTCTAAAAAATTTAAATTATAGTTCAATTGGTAAATTATAGCATTTTTTCTTAATAAGTAGATTATAGCCGTCGCCGATGGCGATAAACGGTAAATACCATATTTACTCGTAAATATATTTATTTAAAAATTTGGCTACCAACTCCAGTAACGGTTAAATACCATATTTACTAGTAAACAACGTATTTATTAGTAAATAGTATACTTATCTAAAAATCCAGCCGGCAGCGCCACCAGCAACTAGTAAATATTGTATTTACTTGTAAATAATATATTTACCTAAAAATTCAGCTGCTGACACTAGCAACTGGTAAATCTTGTTTATTCAAAAATTTAAAAAGTTAGGTCACCAGTAATGGCGACCGATAAATACTGTATTTATTTGTAAATATCGTATTGAAAGGGGAATGGTTTGATGTAAGGGTAGTTTCATTTTTTGTACCACATAAATTAGTTGGTGGCCATATTTTTAGTTTTAAAAATTTTAGGTTGTTTTTTATTAAAATTGGGCTCCAAAATAAGCCAATATTGTTATTATCCCCATAAATTCTAAGATAACAAAACAAAATAAAAAAGGAGTTGAACTTAAAAATGAAAGAGAAAAAAAAAGGTAAAGTGCCTAGGATTTAAGAGGTACGAAAAAGAAAGAAGAGAAATAAAAGAGTTCTTTTTTAAAAAAAAAAAAAGAGTTAAAAAGGCAAAAAAAAAAAAAAAAAACACGAAGAGTGGGGGCACATTTATGATAGGAACCAAAATGATAGGTGCAATTGTTTAATTCATTGGATTAACTTTAACAGTTAAATCTACACCTGTTATGTTAAAAATTTACAGTGAGTGACACAACATTATTTTCAATAACAAATTTAAGCATATCTGACCATTAAAAAATTAATCTAACGACTAAAAAGCAATACATATTAATACGGTAGAAAAGCCTTCCTTACCCAAAGAGAGCATGGAAAATAAGGACAAGAAAAATGAAAGACTTAAGATGAAAATAATAATAATAATAATAATAATAATAATAAATGATGGCATTCTCTATTGTGAAACACTCTAAAAAACCCCACCGGTGAAATACTATTTTTTACCGTTGGATTAATTTTCAACAATCAGATATGCAGTAGAAACAGTTTTGTATGGTGTACTGTAAAGTTTTAATACATATATGATTGTTGAAAAATTAATTCAAGAGTTAAAAATATGGGTCTCACCTATGGGAAAAGGAAAAAGGGGTAAAAAATAATAATTATTTTCATAGATACCCTCAAACTATGAAAAGTTAGGAACCCTTTGAAATAAAGTACATAATTCGATAATATTTATGAAAATAATATAAAAATACAAAGAAGAGAAAGGGAAGAAAAAAAAAAGGCAGCACTTAAACACTGCGAGTAAAGATCAAGATCACCATCACGAGATTTTAGTCAAAATTTCTTTTTCGAGTAAAAATAATAGAAAAATGTTAGGAGCACTCTCTTTGTCACCCTCGCACTTCTTAATTTGTCTTGTGTCAACTTACTTCCTAAAAAAAAATAAAGAATTGTTGTAGATCATTATTTTTATATTATATTACAACTCTGCACTCTTTCATATTTGCAATTTTTTTTAAATGGAAAATTAAAAAATTATTATTTTGCTAATCTTTGTTTGTTTCTTAACATTTTTTTCTTTCCTTTTTTGTCTTTTCAGTCCTGTTTGTTCCTTTTTCCTAATAGAACAGATATTGGACGTATATATTTTCTCATTTAATCAGTTATTCCGAGTTCTTAGCTAAACGTATATTATTTATATAAATAAATTATTTTAAAACTTATTTTTTTAAAATAAAATGAAGATTTTGATAAAAAAGTAAAATAAAAATAAAATAAAATAAAATAAGAACCTGTTAATGTTGGCTATTGGAATGCTTTTAAGGATCTGCATAGAGTGCTTTTAATATTTGGCTCATGCATGAATAGAATTATAGTAATATTATGCAAGGCAAAACTTTTTATGTAATATTTTTCGGTAAGTAAACATATTAATAAGTTAAATTTTTTATCGTTAAATTTATATAAAATCACGTAAAAGTAAAAAATAATGCATATTTAACAGTTAAAAAATCTGACCTACTGATACGTCAGGCGTACGAGAAAATCTCTCTATTTATTTTTTTTTAAAAAGTTAGGCAATCCGAGTACACGACGACGCGACTCGAAACCCGCACGAAATTAGCGGGTTTAGGTTTATCATAAATATGTTTGGGTTAAAATTAAATTAAACCTGTGAAACATGATTAAATAACGTGTCATTTTTAAGTTGACCCAGCAACCCACAATAATCTATTTATTAAACGTATCATATTTAGGTAATATGAATACATAACACAATTATAACCCCGTTTATTACCTATTTTACAAATATGTTTTTTTTAAGAGAAAAAGGTTTTACAAATATATTTTTTTTCCTCTCATTTTTCCACTCCACCTCCACGCTTAGAGATGTCAAAAGGGCCGTGCTGGGCCGGCACGACCCTTCTAACCCCAGGCCCATGGCGGGCCTGGGCCGTGCCAGGGCCGGGCCTGAGGAGAAACCCCCAGGCCCAGCACTGGCCCTTGGCCCTAGTCCATAAGGGCCAGGGCCGGGCCTGGGCCCAGGCCCTTCACGGGCCGGCCCTGGCCCTTTTAATTTTGTTTTCAATATTTAATTAAAAAAAAAGAAAATATATCATATGTCCCCAAAAGATGTGATTTTATTGAATTGATATAATACAAATAAGTACACATAAATGATCAACTCGTTAAAAACCTTGTCAAGTAAATCTCGTGGGGAGATCAGGACAAAACCTTAGCGAAGGAAAAAAGAGTGCAGTATTTTAGGATAAGTAAATTACAAAACCTAAGTGATTCTAGAAGATTATGTTATGTCTAAACTCAATTTTAACCTAATTTTCTTAATGCACTTGAGTTTCACTTATGATTAGCAATATTTTTAGGATTTTTTTTTAATTTCAAATTTGATGACAAAAAAAAGTAATATATCATATGTCCCAAAACTATGTGATTTTATTGAATTAATATGAATAATTATAAGAAAATGACTGGTTGACTAGACGGCATAGGTCGGCCAATTGGCCCTAAAACATGAGGCATGACCCTTCGCGTGCATGGGCCGTGCCTAGCCCTTCGCGTGCCTGGGCCTTGGCGTGCCTGGGTCGTGCCTGGGCCTTGGGCGGGCCTATGCCGTGCCTGGGCTGCGGGCCTCAAACATGAGGCCAAGCCCAGGCTCTTCTGGCGTGCCGTGCCGGTCCGGCCCATAATAGTACAGGACCGGGCCGTGCCAAATTTGCTACTGTAGTGGGCTGGTCCGGGCCGTCCATGGACGGCCCGGCCCAAATGACACCTCCACGCTGCCTTTTCTTCTCCCATTTCTTTACTTCACGCTGAAGCTAGGTTTTCTCTCCATTCTCGACCGCCGCTCCTTCACTTCACCGCCGTGACCTTCTCTTTCTCTCAGAAGTCACCCACCCGTGCGGCCTATTCTCTCAGAAGTCCCTTCACTTTCTCTTCACCGCTTCATCTCTGCCATATTCTCTCTGTTTTTTTTTTCGTTTGATTTTTGTTATTTCTTATGGTTTGGATTTATGATTTTTGTTTATGGTTTGATCTGTGTTTGGACCGATGGTTTGAATTTGTGTTTAGAAGAACTGGTCAGGTTAAAAGAACTGGGTTTTTGTTGGGAATTTGGGGATTCTTTTTCTCCCTTGTTTGTTGTTTTAGGCGATATTTTTGGTACTCAGAATTTTAGTTTACAAAGTAAAGAAAGGAATTTGGGAAGGGTTTTGTAGAACCCAACTAGGTATTTCTTTTAGTAAGAAATTTAGGTCAACTTACGCATCAAGAAGTATGTATTTCTTTTATACATCTTGAATTTGCTACGGATCTTGGGGTTCTATTCTGCTTCTTGTGGGTCAATCCCGGTTGAAAACTTCTCCATTTTATTTAGTAAAGTTTGTGATATTGTCCTTGTGGGGAATCCATGTACTATGATATATGATTCTCTTGTTTAATTGCACAGCTTCCTTAAAAAAAAGTTTGTTGTGATTACTCATTTTAACTCTGAACAATGGTTATTATAGAATGAACATTTATATTTCTGAGGTATTGAGAAGTCTTTGCTTGGCTTTTGAGCAAAATAGGATCTCC